GCTGCAAAAGTCGGGCAAAGCCCGACCTTCGGGGCCCAGCACGGTCAGGACCCGGGCAGGAATCTACGGAGGAGATAAAAGGAGGGATGGAGGGAGGGGCGGAAGGCAGACGGAGCTTGCACTACCTGAGGATGTTGTGTGCTTCCATACTCCGGTTCTGGTTACTCGAGCACACCACCGCCACCCGCAACGGCGAGGACGGCATGGCACCGATCGCACTACCCACAGCGCTCGTTACGGAGCTCCCACCTAGAAGCCGGCTTCCGCCCGAGGAAGATGGCGGAAACCGGAAGTCAGCAACGCGGAAATGAGGACGACGTAGGTACGTGCGGAGGTCAGCGCTGCTTTCCCGGGCACGCACTACGCACTGCTGCAGGCTCGGGAGAGCGACCGGACAACGCTGCGTGAGTTTACGGCGAGAGTAGCTAAGATCGATGCTCGGGGCCGTTTATACCGGCATCTGACGTCACAGCACCCGCGCCGGAAAAGGCAGTGACGTCCGCCGCGCATACGTCCGGGGCGTCTTAAATGGTCCTCACCGTTGATGACAGTCTGGGCGGAGCGCCTGCGCAATATTGGAAATTTCGGGCAGTTCCTACGGTCTGGGGAAACCCTCTCGCAATCCGGTTTCCTCCGTGGCCACTCCATCAACTTCGAGCTGCGAGCCAGCACTTTGTTTACGCCCCGTCTCTATAACGAGTATCACTTCCTCCGGAAGTTCCTCATTTCCCTTGGAGAGCCCTTTGAAGTCTTAACATTTAAGTGATAATGAGAAGGTTCGGTGGAAGCTTCACCCCAGCCCCTGGCATCCATAAACCCAGAGAGTCTCTAAATGTTCGGTGGAAGGTCCACCCCAAGCCCCGTCCCCTCTGACCTCTCCAAACCCTGCCACATCTCAGAAGGTCTGCCGAATGATGACCCCACCCCCAGAGATGCTCAAGACCACTCCAACAGGGTATTTTAGTGCCCGCCAGAAACCAGATATGTGGGTTTTCTGGTCTCTTTCCATCCCCTCTCTGGGGGGTTGGAAAATCATTTAGGAGCCTTTAATCCATTAAACCTCGGGTTTTTCTGAGTCTGTTTTGGATTGCTGCATCTGCAGAGAAGTTTATCGGGGTGCAGAAACTTTTCAGAAAGAGTTTGTGAGGTAACCGGCTCCTCTTATTCAGCTCATCGCGAAAGTGACAGGAAGATCGCTTCACTATGGAAGCCCGTTTAGTGAGAGCTTTGTCTCAAAAAAGAGGAGAAATGGGGCTGGGCATGGTGGCTCATCCCTTTAACCCCAGAACTCGGTAAACAAAGAGGCTTACAGGCCCTTGCCCTGTTGCTTTTCCTCTCAATCTCCAATAGAATGGTCAAGAAAAGAAGGAATGGAGCCGGGCGATGGTGGCGCATGCCTTTAATCCCAGCACTCGGGAGGCAGAGGCAGGCGGATCTCTGTGAGTTCGAGACCAGCCTGGTCTACAGAGCTAGTTCCAGGACAGGCTCCAAAGCCACAGAGAAACCCTGTCTCGAAAAAAACCAAAAAAAAAAAAAAGAAAAAGAAAGGAAAAGAAAAGAAGGAATGGGACTGTGGGAAGGGTATTACATGGGTGATTTGGAGATTCCGAGAACTGTCTTGAGGTTTGGGCTACAAGAAACATGGTCCATTTTTAGTATGAGATACATTGAAAGATCATGAAGCACAAGGCACTAAGCCACTTCCCTCCCTAGTAGGCAGCCAATGACGGCTTGTCTAGGCACTCCAGTTTTTCCTAAGATTGACAAGTTGCTGTGGGAAGAGAATCTGGATTCCCCAGGATAGATTAGGCTTTGTGTTCTCAGCTAATAAGAGGAGAAACATGGGGAGGCAGCAACAGTGAACACCAGGAAGATTGTAGCTCCTTAAAAAACTCAGTCAAAAGGACCGAAAGAGGGCGAAGAAATGAAATTGTTTTTGTTTTATGAGACAGGGTTTCTCTGTAGCTTTGGAGCCTGTCCTGAAACTCTTGTTCTTAAAAAATATCCCTTGGGTCCCCCGCCCCGCAGCAAACTCTGGCGGGTCCCAGCAGTGCCGGGCGCCGGCTCAGCAAGCGGCTACAGCTTCTCACTAGCGGGAGGGCACGCACGCGGTGGGTCAGACATACAAACACAGAAAATAGCCATAAATGTTTATTAAAGAGGGGGAGAGAGAGAAAGAGAGACGGGGGGGGGGGGAGGAGAGAGGCAAAGCCCGGTGTGAGAGGGAAAGCAGGAAGAGAGCGATGGCGGGGCGGAGGTCAGGAGTTAAAAGGAGTGGATGTGGCTAGGGCAGGGACCAAAAGAACAACAGAAACTAGCTCTTGTAGACCAGGCCAGTTTCTAACTCACAGAGATCTGTCTGCCTCTGCCTCCTGAGTGCTGGGATTAAAGGCATATGTCACCATGGCCCGGCTAAACTCTATTCTATTTATTTTTAATTTTTGGTTTACTTTAAGATGTATTTATTTATTATGTATACAACATTCCTTCCATGTATGCTTGCATGCCAGAATAGGGAACCAGATCTCATTATAGATGGCTGTGAGCCACCATGTGGTTGCTGGGAATTGAACTCAGGACCTCTGGAAGAGCAGTCAGTGTTCTTAACCTCTGAACCATCTCTCCAGCCCCTAATTTTTGTTTTTTTTTTTAATATTTATTTATTTATTATGTATACAATATTCTGTCTGTGTGTATGTCTGCAGGCCAGAAGAGGGCACCAGACCTCACTACAGATGGTTGTGAGCCACCATGTGGTTGCTGGGAATTGAACTCAGGACCTTTGGAAGAGCAGGCAGTGCTCTTAACCACTGAGCCATCTCTCCAGCCCCCTAATTTTTGTTTTTTTGAGACAGGGTTTCTCTGTGTATTTTTGGTTGTCCTGGAGCTCATTCTGTAAACCATACTTTCCTTGAACTCACAGAGGTCCTCCTGCCTCTGACTCCTAAGTGTAACATGAGGTTGGGTGTCATTTTGTAACATGAGGGCCAGGGCTCGTGGGAATTTCTGTCCTGCCAGATACCCCACAACTGGCAAGCCCCAAAGAAATCACACAGAGAGTCTGCATTAGGTATAAACTGATTGGCCCATTAGCTCAGGCTACTTATTAGCTCTTATAGCTTATATTAACCCATTGTTCTTATCTATGTTAGCCACATGGCTCGGTACTTTTCTCAGCTGAGTAGATTACATATTGCTTCTCAGTGGTCTAGGTTGGAATGTGGAGGGAACTTCCTGCTTTCCAGAATACTCCTGTTCTCTTTGCTCCACCTCTACTTCCTGTCTGGTTTTCCTGCCTATACTCCTTGCCTGGCCAATCAGCGGTTATTTGAAACATGATTGACAGAATACAGACAACTCTCCCATATCACCCAAGTGCTGGAATTAAAGGTATGTGCTGCAACACCCAAATTCTATCTCTCTTTCTCTAAAGACTTTATCCTTTTTCTTTTCTCTACCAAGTCTACATATATTTTTAAACACACTCTAAACCGTTTAAAGGTTTTTTTTTTTCCATTTGAATCTATCTTTACTGTATAACTCTTTTTCTGACCACATGAGACTAATTTGCTAAGTGATATGGCTAGGATTAAAGCGATGACATTGAAGGCTGGATCCACCCCATTCCTTAGCTTTCTGAGAGCCTAGCTTCCTGATGGAGGTTCTGGCAGGAGCCATGTTTATTGCCACAACTCCATGGAGTTTTAAGGTTGCTGCCACCACCAAGAAGCACGCTGTCCGCTATACATAAACACCATTTGTTTTTTTTTTTTTGGGGGGGGGGAACTCTTAAAAGAGCTGCGATGTTTTTGCAACTCAAGATGAGTCAGGAAGCCTCTCTTAAATGAGATGTTCTTTCTTCTAGCAAACAGAGCCCCACCTGAGAAAATGCTGCTACCAAGAAGCCGTGTTTAACAATGTTCTTTTGTGTCTAGAATTACGTCCCACGCTCTCTCAGGTTTTATGTGGATATAATTGTCCACATTGGCACGTTTGTTGACGGAGGCCTCTGTGTGTTTCTTTGGGACTGAACAGCTGAGGGACTAGGCAGGACAGAAACCTCTGTCAACAGCTGTATATATTATATGACTGCATAACCTTCAAAAATTAAGTTTTGTGTAGGAAAAAAGGGGATCTGTGGTAGAATGTCCCTAGGGCCCAGCACCAGAGGGACAGCAAGGCAACCTCTACTAGCCATGAAACCCTGCTGGGTTACATCTGGTCTAGCTCTGGAGTTTTCACACAGCTCCAGGCCTTCCTTTGAGTTACAAATTGTTGTCCTATGTGAATCCTGACTGAGAGTTTCCCACAGATACAAAGCCTATGCAAAACTTGATTTAGAAGAAAACCAGAAAACTGCGGTACCACATGAAACAGGTATTTGCAACTGGCATTGTATTGCTGGGAAGCTTCTATCAGTTTGTTCTGAGATATGGAAATCTTCTAGTAAAGTGTAAATACAGGAAAAAAATAAAGGAGCTGAGAGGAGAAAGGAAGGAGCTGCAGTTCACCCAGACTGAGCCCCCTGCAGCCGCAGAGGCTATGTTCATTCTCAGTGCTTCTCTGAGTCTTCATTTCTCCAACCCGTGTAAACTCACACACCCACGCCAAAATATTAGTGACACTTCACACTAAATTGTAGATTTCACTAAAATGCACGGATTTTCTCCAGAATGAAACAGAAACAAGGACATAGATGTTACCTGTGTCTGAGTATCTGTGACAACAGATCTGTGGGCATGGGTGGAAAACAGGCCCTTGTTGGAGAGGAAGAAACTCAGAAGCCTCGTGGTCGGGGCACCATACTCACTGATAGTGAAGTCTGCCATCATTGTTCATGTTTCTGAGAAGAAAACGTTTGAGAATGTTGAGATAAGCCCACCAGAGACCATCACACTAACACTATTAGTGACAAAATGAAAGTCTTTATTGTTGCCCAAGGGCTGCACAAAGAACTTTCCCAAATCACGTAGCCTTGAGCCTTACAGCTCTGTCTTTTGTGTACAAAACACATATCTTGTTTGGCACATTTCAGTTATCAAGAAGCAGAACTACAGAAGCCAAAAAGCAAGATTAGTACATTTAGGGACTTTTTCTTAGGGACTCTTCTGGAACTATGGAACACGTCTTTGTTTCTATTTTGGTAGGTATCGGGGCCCATGTGCGAGGTTTAAGGGCAGAATGGTGTCTAGCATGCCAACAGTCAGTGCTAAAGTCTGGGACTCTGTTAAAACCAGGTGCCAAATATCCTTAAGGGCCTCTCTGATGCGGTCAAGGGGACAGTATAAAGAATCACGTGAGCCAGGTGACAGTGCATGCCTTTAATCCCAGTACTTTAACTCAGAACAGCCAGGGCTACACAGAAACCCTAAAAAACCCCAGGGAAGAAAGGAAGAAGCATTCATTTGTTTTGTCAGACTTTGGGGCTTGAGGCATGAATGAAGACACGTTCCCCACTTTTGCAATATTTACTGTTTTAAGATCCCATTGCTAGGAATGGTGTACCTTTTTGATTGTTTGTTTTGGGCTTTTGGTTGGTTGGGGTTTTTTTTTGTTGTTGTTGTTGTGTTTTGTTTCTGGTATTTTGAGACAGTCTCAATGTATAGCTCTGCCCTGGAACTCCCTATGTAGATCAGGCTGACCTGAAATTCACAGAGATCTGCCTGTCTCTGCCTCCCAAGTGCTGGAATTAAAGGCAGGTACCACACCACCTGGCTGGTAGAGAGAATTTGTCTAAACAACGAAAGCAAAACGAAATTTAAAAAAAAAAACCTGTATGTGGGACCAAGGAATAGTTATCAATGTCCAAGGAATCTTTACCAAACTGAGAATGTCAAAGTGAAACTGGGCAGTCATTTGAGAATAAGGATTGAGCTGGGTGGTGGTGGTGCACACCTTTAATCCCAGCACAGCCAAGGCATTACTGTCTTGACACCAACCTCTCCCCTCTCTGCTCTGTCTTGGAACTTGGCTGAACAGCTACATACCTGCTCATCCCATGCCTTTTTCTGTGGTGCACAAGCTGCTCCCATCTGTTGTCTCTTTAGTAGACACCTGCCCTGCTCGCCCAGCTATAGCTCAGTCACCTTAGTCACTGACTGAGTAGAACTGATGCCCTTCTTTCAGAAAGCCTTCCCCTCCTGCTTCCTCACCCCACTGTCCTTTGCCCCCAACACCACATTCAACCTGCCCATGTGTTTCTGATTGTTCTTTCTGGAGCTATATGCTCTGCTTATAGAATCTGAGCCCTCAAGGAGTTCATGTATAAATGCTTACGTACATACATAATACATACATACATACACACACACATACATACACACATACATGAAACCTAGGGCCTTACACATGCTGAACAAGAGTTCTACCATCCATCTTCATCCCATCTTTTACTATGCATAGACCTGTCCCAAACTGGGTAGGATGGTACATGCCTATAATCTCAGTATTTAGGTCATGGGCACAGGAGAATCAGTTCAGGGTTAATCTCAGCTACAGAGAATTTGAGGCCAGTCTAGGCTACCTGATCTCTATCTCTAAAGCAAAGCAAAACAAAAGCTACTGTCTCTTCATAGGTCTTCACCTGAGTGCTCCCAGATCGTACTGAAGGCAAGGGCTGAAGTGACATCACAGCTTGGGGCACACTGGGTATTCAACCCACCAAGACTGCTGAGTTGGACTTTGTCACTGTCTCAAAGTATTATGTGGGGGATGGAGAGATGGCTCTGTAGTTAAGAGCACTGACTGTTCTTCCAGAGGACCCGGGTTCAATTCCCAGCACCCACATGGCAGCTCACAACTGTCTGAAGATCCAGTTGCAGGGGATCTGACACCTTCACACCAATGCACATAAAATAAAGTTAAATAAAAATATTTTTTAAAAAGTATGATGTGGGAAACCTAACCTGAAAAACTCTGTGTGTGTGTGTGTGTATGACTGGAGCCCCCGGAGGCCTGAAAAGAACATCAGAATCCCTGAGACTATCCTTACAGATGGTTGTGAGCCACCACATGGGTGCTAGAAATCCAACCTAGATCTTCTGGAATACCAACTATTTCTCTTAAATGTTGAGCCAATTCTCCAAACCGAGGGCAGTTGTTTTTTGTTTGTTTGTTTGTTTTTTAAGACAGGGTCTCTCTATGTAGCCCTGGCTGGTGTGGAACTCACTCTGCACACCAGGTTGGCCTCAAACTCCCAAGTGCTGGGATTAAAATGCTACCATGTCTGTCTAGAACAATGTTTTATAGCCAGAATAATAAAACTAACCTAGTAAATCACGAATATAGCATTTAAGTGAAAAAACTTGGGTTATCTTTCTAGATATATGACTATACCTACGAAATCAACAAAACATGTTTTTCTTCATACCACTTTGTAACCTTTTCTGCCTTCCCCTCTTCCAACACTCAGTCATCTCCCCAGACAACTCACTACTACCCAGACAGCAGTAACAGTGTTTCCTCTTACTATAATCTGTGCATTTTAGAGTTACAAAGTATCATGTAGTCCAGGCTAGCATCAAAGTCCATATATATAAACCAGGTGGTGGTGGCCGTGCGCACCTTTAATCCCAGCACTCGGGAGGCAGAGGCAGGCAGATCTCTGTAAATTCGAGGCCAGCCTAGTCTACAAGAGCTAGTTCCAGGACAGCTAGGGCTGTTACACGGAGAAACCCTGTCTCAAAAAACAAACAAACACAAAGAAAGTCAACATATATGTGATAATTACCTTGAGTTCCTGACCCTCTCCCTCACATCACCAGTGCCTATCTTTTATTTTGATTTATTTATTTTGGAGACAGGGTTTTTCTGTGTAACCCTGGCAGTCTTTGAACTTGCTCTGCTTCCCAAGTGTTGGGATTAGAGGCACACGCCACCATGCCAAGTTTCCTTATTGCCATGTTGCTTGTCATTGTTTAAACATAGCATATTTTGTTCAGTCATCTGCAGACGGGTATTTGGGCTATCTCGTCTCTAGTCTCGGGCTATTACAGATACCTTATATGTGTGTGAACAATTCATACAAATACTTTTATTTTGCTTGAGTTAGTACCTGCAGATAGAATAGAGAAGAGGTTTTCTTTCCTTTTTTTTTTTCTTTTGAGCTTTGATGGCGGGGTCTCACTGTGCAGCCCAAGCTAGCTTCAAATTTGTAATCCTCCTGTCTCACTCTCCCCCACCTGAGTGCTGGAATTACAGGCATGTGCCACCATGCCCAGCCTGCATGTGTGTGTGTGTATGCATTTGGGTTAAGAAAATGTCAAGAGGCCAGGCATTGTGGCACACGTCTTCTGTCCCAGCATCCTGGAGGCAGAGGCAGGGGAATCTTTGTCAGTTCTAGGCCAGACTTGTCTATCTAGCAAGTTCCAGCACAGCCATGACTTCACAGTGAGAGTTTGTCTCAACAATAAATAAAAGAAGAAAGGAAGGGAAGAAGAAACATAGGAAGGAAAACTGTTGAGGGGATGAGGGCGCAGCTTCAGTGGAAGGAGCACTTGACCAACATGTAGGACCTAAATTTAATCCCTAGCATAGACAGGAGCTTACTCTGTAACCAGGCTGGTTAAAGCAATCCTCTTGCCTCAGCCTACAAAGTAATGAAGTCATGTGACTATTCCACCATGTTTGGCAATAGGCAGAGACTTTGTTTGTTTTTTGTTTTGTGGTTTGTTTTGTTTTTTGAAACAGGGTTTCTCTGTAGCTTTGGAGTCTGTCCTGGAACTAGCTCTTGAAGACCAGGCTAGCCTCAAATTCGCAGAGATCCGCCTGCCTTTGCTCCCGAGTGCTGGGATTAAAGGTGTGTGGTACCACTTCCCGGCTCATAGGCAGAGATTTAAATTTTTTTTACATTCCTTTATTTTGTGTGTGTGCACATGGACCATGCACATGCAGGGGCTGACAACAATCTTAGAAACTACTGCACTTCCTTCACTGTGTGAATCCTCAGAATCAAATCAGATCCTCGGGCTTGACAGGTCCTTTGCCTAGTGTGCCTTTCTCACCAACCTGTGTTTTGTTTTTTGAGATAGTCTCAAATTGCCAAGACTGCCCTGGAACTTCTAATTTTCCTGACTCCACATTTCCATCTTCTGGGACTATATGTTTGAACCACCACACCTATCTTAAATTTTGTAGTTTTTAAATTAATTTGTTCTTTTATGATACATATTGTGTATCAAATAGAAAAAAAGGTCCTGGGCATGATTTTGTTGTTGTTTTGAGACGGTCTCTTTGCACAACAGCATTGACTGTCCTGGAACTTGCTTTGTAGACCAGGCTGGCCTCGAGCTCACAGAGATTCCTTGCCTCTTCCTCTCAAGTGCTGGGATTAAAAGCGTGTGCCACCACCACCTGGCACTGGATAGGATTAATGGTAAATTATTCCCTGTAGAATAGAAGATCAGAGAAGCTGAAGGTATAACTAGAAACTTCAAAACTGGGATGGGGGATGAAACTCAGTTGGTAGAATGCTTACCTAGATACAAAACGTTAGATCTGATACCCAGCACTATATAAGGTCATGTCCGGTGGGACATCAATTACTTCAGCACCTGAGAGGCCAAGGAAGGAGGGTCAAAGTTCAAGCTCATTTTTTAATAAATAGTTTCTTTTTTCTTTTATTATTTATACAGTGTTCTGTTTGCATGCCAGAAGAGGAAACCCGATCGAATTACAGATGGTTGTGAGCCACCATATGGTTGCTGGGAATTTAACTCAGGACCTCTGGAAGAGCCGTCAATGCTTTCAACCTCTGAGCCATCTCTCCAGCCCCCTCAAGCTCATTCTTGATTAATGAGTTGGAAACTATCTGGGGCTACAAGAGACTGTCTCAAAAAATAAAACAGGAGGGGCAGGGAGGGAGAGAAAGAGGGAAGAGGAAGAGGACTGTCAAGGCAGGCAGGAGCGGTGGTACACATCTGCAATACTCAGGAGGTGGAGTCTCACACTTTAATCTCAGCAGCCAGGGGAACCAGCTGCAGATCTCTGGGAGTTCAAGGCCAGCCTGGTCTACAGAGCAAGCTTCGTGGCAGTCAGGACTACATAAAGAAACCCTATCTGAAAAGCAAAATTTTCCTCAGTCACACTAGCCACATTTACGCACTAAGATCTACAGTGTTGTTTTTCTTTCTCCCTGGCCTTTAACTTTTTTTCTGGTTCTTCGAGGCTGGGTTTCTCTGTGTGACATTCCTGGTTGTCCTGGAACTCACTTTGTAGACCAGATTGGTCAGGAATGCAGAGATCTGCACGCCTCTGGCCAATTTCTGGAATCAAGGACATGCACCATCACGTTCATCTGACTTTGAGCTGCTTATCCTCCACTCGCCACGTCCTGAGTGTTGGGGTTACAGATGTCTGCCATGGTTCCCAATTTATACGGTGCTGGAGATTGAACCCAGAACCTTTTCAGTGTTAGGAAAGCATTCTAAACACTGAGCTACAGTTGAATCCTGTTGAGGGCCAAAGGAGGGCACATAGAATGTTAGCACCAGACTGTGCCCAGGGAGCTAGAAGCTGGACACTACGGTACTTCAGATACGGCACTTCCAGAACACCAACTTCTGTCCATGCTGGCTGAAGACACCAGAATACACCTCATAAAAACAGCCTAGGTCCCCCAAAGAACAGCAGCTGTACTGCAAACTCCTCCCATTTCTGTCCTGGCTGTCTAGACAGCCTGCTATGTCCTCCACCCCTCAGATGAGTGCAGGCACATCCGTACACCCACAACCCTTCTCCCACCCCCTCGAGATGAGTCACTCATCCGAGCTGGCTCATTCCTGCCTGTGCTTTTGCTTTCTTCGGGGTCACAGGAGCTCAAGAGTCCCAAGGACATTCCAGGTGAAGAGTGAGTGGCTCACGCAGTAGCCCCATGCTGGAGAGGGTACCCCTTTCTAGTGCTGCCTGCCTGCTGCTTCTCACAGTTCAAATGGCTCATCACTGTATGTTGAGGCTGTTTCGAACCACTGCCAGTCCCATCCCCCACCCCCATGCCCAGTACGGCTGGCCTAGGAAGAGATGCTTTCCCAAGGTCTGGGGGTGGACAAACAAGCTATGGACACCCTACCTGTCCTTTTGCCAGAACTGTCAAGTCATCATTTCAGTGAACACTGCCTGGGGCTGACCCCCATCCCATCCCCACCGGGAAAGGTTCAGGGCCAGCCACTGGACTGATGCTCGAGAGGCCCTTCCCTTACCCGCATCACCTTCCCTCCAACATCCCAAATAAACACACAAGACAGTGTTTTTGGTCTGAGAGTGATGGACATTTAGATGTTGGCAACTGACCAGTGCCTCTTGGGGAGCAGGCAGAGCAAAGACAGAGAGGTAGGGTACAGTGCTGCCAGCCAGGGCTCAGGTCATCGTGGTCGCTGGGGTGCGAGTGGAGGGAAAATAGCCAGGGTCAAGTCCAGTGCTCAGAGCCTTACCCTTTCCAGTGCCCAGTATCATCAGATGGCTGGGTGACCTCAGCCAGGTGCCTTTGTGTGCCAGGAGGTAGGCACGGCCAACCTCTGCCCATTCAGATGGAGGGGCAACGTCACTGGGGTCAGATCTCAGGCTCTCCACTCTAGTAGAAGAAGGACAGGGCTGGCTCTGTGGCTACTGAGGTCTCAAGTTGGTTGAGGCTTGGGATCCAGACCACAGTTAAGAGTCTGGCTGGACAAGGCTGGCAGCTTTCCTTAAAGCCCTCATGATCCCTTCAGCTGCCCTCCCAAACAGTCCCCTCCCCAACACACAGACACACAGACATACAGACACACACACACACACACACACACACGCCACCGGGAAAGTCCTAATCAAGGCAGTACAAGCGAAAGGAAAAGGGTGAATCCCCAGCCTCCTAAGGTGGAGGGCACTCACCCCTGGATGCAGCAGCTGGACGTTGGGCCCAGTCTGCTGAGCTACATCATGGCTCTTGGCTTCTCGGACACCCACATAGGAAGACAAAACAGGACCTGTGAACCCCTGCCCCAGACTCCTGAAAATCTCGAAGCTGGTGTGTCCTCAGTGGGCCTCTGGCCAGAAGCATGCATAAGCCAGCCAGTCTCAGAGCCACAATTCCCTATGGACAGCTGAGGGATGATGGGTGGCTCCTGCAGTGGGGCAGAGAAACTAAGGCACAAAGCTAACCTAAGCCCACTGGGTAAGGTGGGGTGGGTACAGGATCCAGAGGTCACTCCTCCCCCTCTGCGAAGCACAAAGGGACCAGGCAACGATCACGACCAAGCTCTGACAACCTGGCACGGGAAGAAAGTTCAGGTTGATGATCCTGGGTGCCAGTGAGTGGCTCTTGACAGAGGGGCTGTATATTCTGGCTGGCCCGAAAAGGACTCTAGAGATGGGGAAGATCCCTGGACGCGGCTGACACTCTAGTCTGGGCCCCATGGCCAGTCTGAGGCCTGAGTCTGGAAAGCGGACATCCAGCTGGGGCTGGCAAGGTCGTGGATGATGACAAGGTCCCTGCATGGGCTAGTCTCCATTAGGCCCTCCATGGGCATCGTAAAGAGGGAGAGAGAATGAGAGGGAAGCAGGGAAAGGGCCTAGGGTCTCAGCACATTTAGGCAGGTGGAACCCAGATGGGCGGGTCGCCTTGCGCTTCAGGACTGCCTGCGCAGACTGGGTCGCCGGAAGGTCGGGTGCATGAGGTTCTCGGTGATGTAGGCCACCAGCAAGCAGATGACCACCAGCATGACACAGATGGAGCCGCCCACCGCCGTCATGGCCACCACGATCTCCTGCATAGCTGCCGGTTCGGCGGTGAACTCCACGCACTCGGCGAACTCTGGCTGGGTGGCGGCGAGCTCGGCGCGCAGCGGCAGCGGCTGCAGGCACAAGCGATAGCGCACGCTGTCGTGCACGTCGGGCAGCAGGTAGTCGCGGCAGGAGGCGCCCAACAGCACGCGATCGCACGGGAAGCGTGTGTAGGTGCCACGCCACGAGCAGTTCAGCGCGAAGACTCGCACGCGGCGCGCCTCGGCCGGAGCCAGTCGCCACTGCAGCAACACGCTGCGGTTGCGCAGGACGTGGGCGCGCAGAGAACCACCCGCCGAGACCAGCGTCACGCAGCCCGGCGCCTGGCAGCGGAAGCCCCGAGCGGGGCTGCGAAAGCATAGGCGCCCACCGCCCGCCTCGGGGCCCTCGGACAGCACCTTGTAGGGGCACCAGGGCGCGTCGGAAGCCGGCTCCCAGCCCGGCGGCGTCGGGACCACAGCGGCGCCGGAGGGCGGCGCGCAGGTGGCCAGCAGCAACAGCAGCGGCGGAGCGCGCATCCTGCGGCTGGGCCGGCGCTGCGGGGCGCGGGCTCGCGAGCGCACGGGGAGCAGCGGAGGGTCACGCGGGCCGCGCCGCCCCAGCCGCTCCCGCGCCCGCCCCGCGCAGGGCCCTCAGCCGCCACGGGCTCCAACCCGCCCCACGCCCACGCCCACGCCCAGTGCGCTCTCGGACCCAGCGGCAGAGGCGGGGCTGCCCCGCGTCCCCGCCCCCTTAACCCTCGCTGGACCGCACCCCACGGCACGAGAGTCCACTTACCGTGGGCAGGGGACAGGCCCTGGCCACAATCGATGAGGACCCCTGAGGGATGGTCCCTCTATCTGATGCTGGCCCCCGCTCTGACCAAGGGACTAGGCTCGAGGACTGAAATGTAACTTCACCCTGAACTCTTGCATCTTTGGAACAGTTGGCATCCTCAAGGCTTTGTCTTGGTGGGAATTAACTGCACACCCGAAGAGAAGCTGCAGGTTGACTCGTCCTTCTCCGTCCCATCGGTTTTCCTTCCCTTCTTTGGCGCGTGAAGAGGGTCAGGACCAAAGAAAACGCCCCTCGCAAAAAAGCCCACCCTGCGTCGTGCGGTGTAGGTCTATAGAATCCAAGCCGCTTAAAAGAGAGCCCACTCGGACTACCAAATGAGTTCAGGGTCAAGCTGGGTAATTTAGTAAGATCCTCAAAATGAAAACAAGATTAAAAATAAAACAAACACCCTAGAGACCTGTAACCAGACAGAAACAACTCATCTTGCACAACGGCTATGCTGCTCCACGGATGAAAGGGAAGAAGGATCACACTCCAGGACCACTGCAGTCTTACCCTGGCACAGGTCACCTGGCTAGGCCTGCCTGCCTAACGACGGGAGAAGCCGAACCCCCCTGGTGCTGAAAGTTCTGCTGTTGAGGACTGTGTACTGAACAGGGAGGTGAGGGGGGTCTCAGCCAACCGTCCTATGGATTCCGACCCCCTCATGACACCTTCGAGGTAACCTTACCTGGGAAAGGAAAAGGAAAATATTCACTGGGTCCTACGTCTTGTGTTATAGATGATCGTACGATCCCACACACCCACAGAGCTCTTTCCTAGACTATGTCCTAGTCTTCCTGAAAAACCTGAGGGGGACCAGTCTCATGGGCAGTAAGGCTCAGGTCAGAATCAGAAGTCTCCCACCCAGCCACAGCGTGCCTCATCACTAACTTGGAGGGACCCATTTGTAGAAAACTTGGATAGGGTCTACTGAGATCTCTGCTCCCATTGGAGGTCAGAGGTTTTGAGAGATATATCCCCCTATCACCCATTTCTACCTTCCTCTTAGGCTGGGCAAACCCCTGACTCTTGCCTCATCCTTGTAAGAGTGCCCAGGAATTTCTCAGCAAAGTAGAAAATAATGATTACCTCAGGGACCTGTATGTCAGGTCTAGAACTACCCAGACCCTTCATCCAGTTGGCATGGAGGTATCAGCTGGAAATCTGGGCACCTAGCGTCCCTCTGCACCTAGGTGCAGGGTATAGAAATGGGCATGGCAACACAATGTGGAATCTTTGGACGGAAGAAAGCTGGATGCTTCCCCTCCTCCCCCATAGGCTCTTAGATCTGAATGCTTGGCCGCTAGGGAGTGGCACTATTAGTAGGGGTGGCCTTGGAGGAAGTGTGTCCCTGGGGGTGGGCTTTGAGGTTTCAAAAGTCCAAACCAGTCCCAGAGTTCTCTCTTTTCCTGCCGCCATGCATCTCACCAAGCTAATTATGGACTCTGTGAGCGAATCCCGATTAAATGCTTTCTTTTGTAAGAGTTGCCGTGGTCGTTGTGTCTCTTTACAGCAATAGAGCACTGACTAAGACGAGCTGTCCACCGTGTTACCGTCAGTTGGCTTGAAAAACACAATACCCAGAGCTCTGGCCTAGATCTGACTTCATTCACACCTCAGGCTTGTCCTAGGGTGAGGACCTTTCCAGTGGGCTAGGGGCTCACCCATACTGACCTTTTCCTGGTCAGGGCATCACTAGCTCTGCTTCCCACTGTGCGAGAGAAGTTGCTCTCCCTCCTGTCAAGGACCAGCCTTGACAAAATCACTTCTTTCCAAGGTTGGGGCATGGGAATTGAAGAAATAGTAAGTAAAGAATATGAAGATGCATAAAAATAAGACAGAAAACATAGAATATTACTGGGAGGGTATTCCAGTGATTACTGAAATCCTGAAATTGACTTACGTTTATTTTTCCACAGCTTTTATACCCAATATAAACGGGGGGGGGGAGAAGGTGACAAAAGGCTTTACTAACATGATAAAATGATAACTCACACAGTCAATCACATTATCACTCTGAGACATGTAGTCACAACATTCTGTAGTCTAGGTAGCAGAGATGCTCCAGATCACAATCCTGAAGGCCGCCCCTCCCCAGGTGACCTCACAGTTACTAAGAAGGAGCAGAAGTATGTTTGCATATCCTGACCATCTGTCAGGATGGCACAGACCCCTCTTAATTTCAAAAGAACCAAGCAGTCACATCCTGAGTTAGGATGTGCAACTATGCCTGTCAATCTCCAAACTCTCTGACTTCAGACAAGGTGGAAAGGGGCCTGCATTTCTTGGCCTCCACACCCTCCTCTGGTAGGGGGCTGGCCACGGGGGATGAGGATTTTGTAATAGTCTGTCTGGATCATTCTATCTTTGGCATCTTTCCAGCTAGGAACAGGGAGAGGACAAAGGAGATTTCTACGCAAGCCATGGCAGGATCAGAGAAAGCTGACAACAGGAGACCCTGCTTCCCACCCAACATTTCTAAGCCAACAGAACAAAGAAAGAACTATGCTGTCCCTAGAGACCACAAGAAACCCACCAGCACCTCCCTCCATGTTGACCCACTCCTGTCTTACAGCATTGAAATGCGATGCTCCCTGGCCCTATGGCAGCACTGTCTTAGGGCTTGGCTCCATTGAAGCGTTACAGCCCCAATCACCCCACTGGCCCCTGTAAGAGTAGTGGGTGCCCTATTAGGACCTATGTTCATGCCCTACACAGGATTTCCTTGTTATGTCTTTGCAGGTCCCTGCTCACGAGACTACCAGTCGGCACAAATACCACTCTGCAAAGAGCACGGTGGGGAGGCGGCCTGGAACAGGTGGCTTCACTTGGGGCTGCAGCCAACTTCCTAGGTAGTGCTGTTGGGAGCTGGAGGTAAAGCAGCCTGCCACAAGCAGGGTGCCCAGAAAGTACATCATGGAGTAGGTAAACAGATGGAGGAGGATTAGCACAAAGTGCACAAGTTAAGGCTGAACCACATCCTTCAGGATACGGAGGCTGTTGTGGGAAATGGAGCAGGGGCTGACTACCCCTGGGCTATTTCCAGTTTTACTAGCATCGATTCCACTTTCCTCGGGGGACTTTATTTCTCAGGCCAGGAGGAGTTTAGGTGGGACTGACCTTGCTCTGCCCTGGGGTTGGCAGGTAACTTGGGCTGGCCTGCACATTCAGACTTGCTATCAAGCTCGTGAAAAGGAGTTGATTACCCCAATATCAGCTTCTGTGACTCTGAAGTTATCTTAAGGGAATAACTATCCAAAAGGGAAGCCAAACAGAGCAAATCCAAGAAATCCGGCATGTGTGCTTCCTCAAGTGTCTGGATCTCAGATGAAGAGAGCCCATGTGCTGGACTTCACAGTTACGAGAGATAGCAAAGTCTTTTTTTTTTTTTTTCCGAGACAGGGTTTCTCCGTAGTTTTTTTTTTTAATATTTATTTATTTATTATGTATACAATATTCTTTCTGCGTGTATGCCTGAAGGCCAGAAGAGGGCACCAGACCTCATTACAGATGGTTGTGAGCCACCATGTGGTTGCTGGGAATTGAACTCATGACCTTTGGAAGAGCAGGCAATGCTCTTAACCTCTGAGCCATCTCTCCAGCCCCCTACTTTAATCTATGTCTTTATTCTTTTATATTACTTTTACTGTCTCTTTAAAGATTTTGTTGGGCTGGAGAGATGGCTCAGCGGTTAAAAGCACTGCCTAGTCTTACAAAGGTCCCTAGTTCAATTCCCAGCAACCACATGGTGACTCACAACCATCTGTAATGAGATCTGGTGCCCTCTTCTGGCCTACAGGCATGCCTACAGGCAGAGTACTGAAAATACTGTATACACAATAAATTTTTTTTAAAAAAGATTTTGTTTTTTTTTTTTTTTTTATTATTTTTTTCAAGACAGGGTTTCTCTGTGGCTTTGGAGCCTATCCTGGAACTAGCTCTGTAGACCAGGCTGGTCTCGAACTCACAGAGATCCGCCTGCCTTTGCCTCCCGAGTGCTGGGATTAAAGGCGTGCGCCACCACCGCCCGGCCTTGTTTTATTTTTAAAAACTATTTCTTTTTATAACTGTCTATACTCTTTTTCTTCTCTCTCCCAAGCCTATGTATATTTTTAAATGCACTGTGACCCATTCAGAGATTTATTGTTGTCTGAATATGTCTTTTATTGCGTATCTGTAATAATTTTCTGACCAGGAGCACCTTTTTTGTTTATAATGCTAAGTGGATGTTGCTAGGACCAACTCCGTGGCCCTGCCTGTTGACTCCACCCTGTCCAACACGATAGAGGCATGTTCAACTCCTCTGCTAACCATGCAAAACACCCCAGCTCCAGGAATGCAAATGATATATGTCATCATTAAGTAACTAGCAGTACGCAGCTCACAAACCCCATTTGAGTGCAGACCTCCCAAAAGAGCCAGAGTTCATGCAGTCAGCACGAACCAGGTAGTGGCCTAGAAGAAGAAGAAGAAGAAGAAGAAGAAGAAGAAGAAGAAGAAGAAGAAGAAGAAGAAGAGAAGGAGGAGGAGGAGGAGGAGAATGATAGAGGAAGGTCATTGGCTAATAAAGGAACTGCCTTGGCCCATTTTATTGGTTAGAAGATAGGTGGGAGGAGTAAACAGAACAGAACGCTGGGAGGAAGAGGAAGTGAGCTCAGACTCGACAGCTCTCCTCTCTGGAGCAGACGCCTCAGAGAGAGGCCATGCTCCTGGCTCCTGGGCAGACGCACGCTATGAAGCTCCGACCCAGGATGGACATAGGCTAGAATCTTCCCGGTAAGACCGGTGCTACAGTTTATTAGAAATGGGTTGATCGGGATATCAGAATTAGCCAGTAAGGGCTAGAGCTAAAGGG